TTCTGAGGTACTAATAGAATTAATAATTGGTAAAAGAATGTATATATATATATATATATATATATATATATCCCTTGAAATTCTGCCACAAAGTGCATTTGCCTGTGAGTGGATACAAACAGACTCACCTTTCTGCCTTTCGTATCCTGCCTCGTTGAAGTAGGGCTCAGCATTGAGAATAAGCCCTTGCAGTGACACGATCACTTGCAGCAGCGAGCTGTCCTTGCCCCACACTTCCACACCGCGCCCCGACCACGTGCCCAGTAGAGACACGCACACCTGACAAATTGATTTTACTTTTTACTGACCGTATTTAGGGTCCATTAGATGTGGTGTTAATGATTTAAATATCACGAATATAGTACCAACAATATTAACAAATTAATTTTTCTTTTTTACTTTGGTGCTTAATTTTTTTTAAGTAGGCTCTAATTATTATTATCAAAGCTCAATACTTCCAAGTTCTTTTTATACCGAAAAAGTATGCGTAACAGTCATTGACTTACAAATAAATGGACGACGGGTCTAATACTAAAACCACGAAAAAAATGTCCCAAGTCAACCTATTTAAACATAGTGACATGTAAAGGAATATGAAAAAGCTAAAAAGTTGAATTTAAATTGTAATGTCATTGCAGTACTGCCTAATTTTGCTTGCAACAACTGAAAGCCGCAAAAAAACACCATATTCAGCTTCTACTGAAAACTTATCAAAATGCACCATATGTAGTTTCTAGTGAAAACTACTTGAACACAGGTATAATGGAGTAGCCTTTATTATTTATAAATAAATTTTATAGGTAAATGTTGAATTTTATACAATGCCATTTATTACGAGCTAGGGTGTCTGACTTTTTTTCTTGAGTTTCGAGAGTTCTCGTACCCGATTTCTCGAGTTATACGAGAATTTTTTTGAAAACCGTAAAAATCAGCTCAATCAACTATAAAACTAAATGTGAACTTCTCGAAAATTGTTTTGCTCTGGGTGTTCTGAGTTATGCCCCGGAATAAATTCCATCGTTCTTGGTACCAAGACCAGAACCATTTAGAAAACTTAATTTGTTAAATTGATCCTACCGGTATTGAACCCGGGAACTTCTCATTCAATGCCCACAGTGCAAACCGTTAGGCTATCAAGGTTGTACTATTTGTATTATTATGCAGTGTTTTTGTTCACTCATTGATGTAATCACATACCAAAGCTTTAATATTATGGTCTTTTATCAAGCTTGCATCAGCTCTGGTTTCCTTTCTTTTCTTACCATTTTCTTAACCCGTTCGTGCATAGTACTGAAATTATACTGCGCTCAAAAATGTCACCACTTTTCTACATGCCGTAGTGCTTACATTGATTCAATACAATTATTACGGTTTATCACTGACGACGGTTGATTCCGTCAACAGGCATAGTCGTACTGCTCATAGTTCTTGCAAATGTTTCTTGTGCATGAAAAAGTACGGCTATGACGGTAGTAGGGTATTTGCCGCTGTGAGACAATTACAAAATTAAAATGCGCGATATTGATTGCGCAAGAGAAACGCTTTCCAAAATAAACACGTAGGTACTAATTAATAATAACAATTATAATAACGCACACACTCAACATTGCCCCGCATTAAGGAAACCCTGTGTCGCGAGTGCCATAGATACATAACCACAAATTACACTCAAACTCACGAGAGAAATAAATGTAGGCCATACAAAAACCTAAAAAAATACTTTCGGGATTATGGAAATTCATGCAAACGTTATTTCGGGCAAATGTATTTTCGGTCTTCTGACTCGTAACCCCGAGCCGTAGAAAGAGTACAACAATATTTGAAAGTATTACTCACATGTATTAAAAAATATTTTAATAATAACATTAGCATCAAAATGACTCTATGAAATTTTTGTTCTGACTATTTCAAACGCTTGTGTTTCAAACAATTGAAATTGACGTGATGGGTCTCGTTCAGTCTTTTACGCAAGCAGTGAGTCGGAAAGAGACAGTTAGCTATGTGATTATTTTGATTGCTTTTGTAATTTATATTTACGATTAATTTAAATATAAATTAAATACTATATATACTAGTGCATAAAATAACACTTTGATAACTATGATAACACAATGTAGTACTTACTGATAATATGATATACCACCCTGTTTTTTCACTTTAGTTGACTAATTTTTACAAGGTTTTACTACACAATACGGCATCATTGACAAGCGCGCTGTCAGTCGAACAAACGAAGACAAAAGCGTGATTGACGCTCTGTATACGATTTTAACGCCCTGTAAGTTCGGGCACTTTTTAGCGCGGACCCGACGTCCATTTATTTGGAAGTCAATGGTAGCAGTGCTCCTTTAATAATTTTATTGACGCAATTGCCTACACCTGGCGCCATCTACCGTGCTTGTCACGAATTACTGCATGAAAACAACATGGCGTGCGTCATTTCTCGAGACTGGTGGCTTGCGGGGAAGCTTAGGGAATAAAAGCGAGTTTGGTTCTCACAACAGACGCGACCATTTGATACCATAGTTATTATTTTCTCTTGTAAATTGCTTACGAGTTATAAAGTGCAAGCATCACTGTCGTTTTTATTAAATATAAATTTGAATGCTAGCAGACCCCCGCTCCTGTGACATTTACGAGATCTGAGAGTTTTCGCTAACTCAGACACCCCGCAACTTAAAATTGTGATAGCAAAAGACTGTATTACTGCATAACGTGTTATGCAAAATGATTTTTAAAACTTACAGTGTATTTTAGTTTCTAATATCTCATTCGAAAACACTAATACCTCCAAAGTTGAAATGTCAGGGTATAAATTAGCGCTGTTAAATCAAAACACTAAGTGACTTTACATTGTTATTGGTTTGGCACGGCAGTACTGGACTCAGCATTGTTTTACTATGGAAAAATGGGCCGCCGTGATTGCTCCCCTTTACTACTCTCTCACCATCCGCATTCATCTGACATATAGTCTGGCAATACAAAAATAATGTGTTATTTCACTTAAAAAAACGACAGCGTAGAAACTAATTTATCACTATACTCTGTCCAACCATTTATTTAACTTTTGAAAGCTAGAATTCTAATTAATTAGTGATGTCCTAATGCGTTTCCGATTCGAATGTTTATAACAATCGATTTTATTTTTTTTATTTGCTTAGTTGGTATAGCGTCTGGCACGGCCTGCTAAGACGTCGGTTCGAATCCGGCCGGATCGAAGGAATTTTGAGTGTTCGATCTTTGTATTAATTATAACAAACTAGGGATTCATTTCACAAAAAATGATTGAATACCAATTCAATAAAAAAAAATTAAAATCGATTTTATTTGTGAAGTAGTTTTAATGGTGAATGTGGACGGGTTTAAAAAAGAAGATATTGACTGGTTGGGATCGTGATGTTGCATTTGACAATTTGTGTACTCAAGAATGAATAATTAATGTTAATGAGGATTCAAGTCATGATTCCCGCTCACATGGAGAAGAATCCGACGCTTCATTATAATAAACAAAATAAGAATTTATTATAATTACTTATAATTTATTTCTTTTCATTATTATTACACAGGTATTAAAATTTATCAACTTGAATAATCTTCGTTACATAATCTGTAGGCTCGAATAAACTATCGGAGCTAAAGAGCACGTCGCTTCACTAAAATTAAAAAAATAAAAGAGTCCAGGAAGCATTTTTTGTCTATGGTTGTATGTCAATGTATAAATAAAAATAAATTTCAAAAATAACCACTTATCCAAATAACAATCGTATTAGTGGGCAATAACACATTATTAGTATGCTTAACATAAGTGAACAATGGCTGCAAAAAATATATTTATGGTATTGCTCCCAAATAGTGGAGCATCGATAGATAGACCATACTCAATTGACCTTATTACACCATAGGGTGTAGTAAGCGCAAAGATTGAAATGCGTCTATACGCAGTTAAAGGAGTGCAACAATTTTTTGTTTAGACGTATTATAAAAACAATGTATAATGTGAATTATATGTGGTACTGTTGTTGTATCTAAGAAAAATGAGTTAATACACATTATTTAATATTAATGCAATTAAATTCGACGATAATGGATTAAATAGCAGTAGAGCTCCTTGTAAAAGAGTTTGTCGAGAGAAGTACTGCCACATCAACTATTTCTGTCGCCAAGCAGCATTAACTGTATTCCGGTTTTGAAGGGTAAGGGTGCTGGTGAAATTACAGGCACATGAAACTTGTCAACTTATATCCCAGATTGACGGGGGCATTGGCAGTGCCCTTCAAATCTTTGCGATTTAAAGCTCTGAGTGGCACTGCAACTGTTATGGACGGGCGTGTAGCTTACCACTAGACACACGACTTGTTAGTCTTATTACTTGATATTATTATTATGAAACAGAACAAAGTCTTACCTTGCCATCTTCATATAGATTGGGGTTAAGGCGGTCTGTGCAGTACGAGTGATAGTGGCAAAGTGGCGGCGCGCGCGGATACTCCCCTCCGAGTTGCACGTCGAACACGAACAGCCCGTCTTCGTACGGCGTCTTTGTAGGCCCGGCGATCATCACCGACAGAAGGTCGATGCGGTCTTCGTACCCGCGAACCCATACCTGCTCATATTAAAATATGATTGTAGGATTTGTACTTTCGATTAGTCTGAAAAGACAGATCGTGAAGACGAATCGTACCGTGTACGGTAAAAAGTATGACATGCAGTCAAATATAGTGACAAATGCAAAATAAATAATAGAAAAAAATGCAGGGCGAGTATGTAGCTAAGTCTACTCTTCTGTATTACATAGGCATTGTTTATTATTGTTCAATACTAACGAAATAGCACGACCAAGATATACATACTCCAGGAGGCAAATCACTCTTGAGCAGCTTAATTTCACGCTTGACAGCCGAGTAGAAAGTCCGTGGTTCAGACGGCTGCAGAATAGAAAGACGGAAGCGGTGACCACTCGGTGCACTCTCCAAAACACAGAAGCCTTCGCCGTCATCTTTTGTCTCGCTCCCTCCAAGGGCATTAGCAGCGTTTAAGGAGTCCGTATCTCCTTCTAATTCGGCGCCTTCGGCTGTTGCTAGCGGTGCCGTATCGGGCACTATCGGTGCCGCTAAAATGTTTGGAAACATTCTCTGTATATCAACTGTTACTGTACATTACACATATACAACAAAACTAACAAAAATAATGTATCACACAATAATGTATGTATCACACATTAAGAACAAATGATACAAAACAGAAACAGAATCTTGTCGAATGTAGCAGAATTGAATTAATTTGGGTATAAAAATACATTGTAAAGTTTTAAAGCACGACAATAATTCGCAATGAGGGAAAATCAATTTTCTACATACGATTTTCATCGGATTTGCCGCTGGCGTTCCCTTCGTTCTTAGTCTCACCAGCCGGTTTGTCTTTCTCCTCCTCGGCCAGGCTTACTACCAACGCGCCGTATTGACTGGAAACATTACATTAGTCAGTCATTACAGTAGACAGAAAATTACATATGTCAGACTGGAATCATTACATAAAACGCAATTCAATTGTGAAAGGTAAAGACAATAGCATTCTCAGAGCGGTCACGCATTATAGAGGCCAAGACTTTGACTACTGGCCCCATAGTCCAGACGATACACCGTAACTACTAATATTTACAACGCATTCTATACTCTAGCCAAATTCTATGAATTAGAAATTTCGATAAACAAAAACATTATTTTTAGGGTTTTTTACCTCAGACTGTTGATAATATGAATCTTGAAGTTATGTTTGTGATGAATAAATATTCATCATCATGTTCAATCGAAGTTTCAAATCACTAGTATTTTGAAACCAACATAAAAATTACAAGTAATTAATTATTATAAAACTTTTGAAGGAAGAGATTGTAAACATTGAAGTAGTAATTTAAGACTACAATCTGAAATTGACGTTGGACGAGATATGTTAATATCAGTAAATCTTACAATTTTGTTTTTTTTCATCTGACATTTCCCACTATCTAGCAGTAAGCATTAATAGGTATCAGAATCTTAATTACTTTATTTTTAATCATACGTATCAATAGATACTTTGCAAACTTTATAATAATTGGCTAGGTAAGCATTATTTCTATACAATCCAATTACCTGCTGACTTATTTCAATTCCAATTACGCGAGCAGTCAGTGAGCAGAGCTAGCCTAAATAATAAGCATGGTAAAAAAATGTTCGTTATACCTGCCATCATTGGTTGTCTAGCAACGTTTTGTTATTAAACATTCTATATCGAATTTGGCTACAGTTTAGACTTATAGTCCAAAATGGACGTGTAATTCAGTGTATCGACTAGTCGATTTGGACTTAGATTAAAATTATGTAATATAATGATCTGGGCCGATAGTCATCGTCTGTATGACGTTCAGGTACTTGTGCCTAAAAGCGCTTCTGAACAACCAATAAGGATGTAACCGTTTTCACATCTGCTTTCATTTAGCCGGTCTTTGTGATGTTTGTTTCAACGACCAATAGGATATGGCTACTTTCACATCTGCCCGCAGTAAATGTAAATAACGAAATCGTAATTGATTGTCCCACTTTGAAGGATAATGGATCAGAGCGACTTCACACGAGATACCAACTAAGCGTGGAATAACAACAGACATTATGTACGTATACAGAAGTGGAATAACACAATTTTTGTTATATCGATGGCACGGTTATGTAAGCTCCCAACGCATTATATTAACCATAAACGAAAAGCCAGCATACAAGGACAGAACAACCAACCACCTCTATAAAATTTACCATGCACATAAATAAGTACATTAGGGTAAAACAATATCGAGAGGTTCACGCAAGACTTACATTAAACAACTTTACTACGCGGTCTACAATGGTCAAAGGTCATCGACATACAAATACGAAACTATTTCGGAAAACAGAGAAATTAAGTTACCACTTTTTACAGTTACAAAACGGAAATAAAAATAAATAAAATAAGACGGAAGAACTACATGTTGCAATTCACTACGGTATATTACGGATTGTACATAGACTGAAAATAGTGTTGTGTAAATTGACAACTTTTTAATCATTCAAATGTTGTGAAAATGATTTTGAAATGATTCTTTAATTGAAGAAAATAGTAGAGAAAACAAACAAAACGGAATTTCGAAAATGAGGAAATACTGTGCACATGAAATGGAGTCGTTATAACAGATTGTTTGTACTTTTTTTTTCTGAGAAATTAGATTGTTTAATATAAGTATTGCGATCTAAGATACACATAGACATATATTTTTTTAAAGTACCTACAGATTAAACACATGATATTCAAGAATATTTATGGTACAAAGGTCAAATTATATACTTGAGCATTGCAGAAAATTGGCAACATCTATATGTATGAATTAATACCCAATAGTGCGAAACAACACCAACTACAAAATCAATTGTTATAATTGCACTTACGAACGTGGAACTAATCTCTCGGTTCCTTTTACGTCAGCACTTACAATCTAAACGTTTGTGTTCATAGCGTTGGAAACACATAGGTTTGTGTACACTAACGAAAAATAAACAAATATTGTAAGTTTTGTTTTCTTTTTTTATGATACCCAGTGAAGGGACGAATATGTCGTGCGTAATCTATAACAGTCGCAGTGCCACTCAGAACTTTAAATCGCAATGATCTGAGGGGCACTCCCACTGCGCCCGTCACTCTGAGACATAAATTGACAATTTCCATGTGCCTGTAATTTCTCCAGCACCCTTACCCTTCAAAACCGGAGCGCAGTAATACTCGCATTACTGCTTAGCGGCAGAAATAGGTAAGGTGTCAAGTACTTCCTTGGATGAACTCTTTTCACAAGGAGTTCTACTGCTGCTTTTGTATTGTACAAATAGCAAGTGTGTTTATAGCAGAGCAAAGAACATATTTACAATTTGCCACACTGCTCAATCAGACTCAGATTTTATAGGGTTATAAGAGGGAGGTCAACTCATTTTGGAATATGAATAATGAGGCTGAATGTATCGAAAAAGTTACTCCTTATTTAGCCAAGTTACTGAACACAACGTTCGTTAGAATAACAACAAACATTTCACATTTCGAAGCAATATTATTAAAAATATTGGCACTGCATTGTCCAGTAACTCGGTGCATGAAAATAAGTACGATTAAAAAAATTGATGACACCAAAATAATTACATAAGTTTGCTATTGGAAGTCTGTACTTAACCAATAGACAGGAATCTTTGAGGAGCTCATTCATCGCATTGCGCACATTTATCGATTTCCCTTGCATTACCTGTTCCAATCCATATTTTGTTATGGAATTAAAAAAAAATTGTTTGTATTCTTGGTGAATACGCATAAGCTCCTAGTTTCTGATCAGCTTTTGAAATCAGCCTGTACATAGACAGAAATGTGGAAAGGGATAGCTAATTAATACGGAAAACTAAAAAGGGAAACTAAAGGGACAACAGAAGAGTAAAGCAAGTACAAGAGTCCAGCGAACATGGCAAACCAACATAAACAATAAAGGTAAAGAAACAAAAATGTAAGCTCACACTGAAAAGTGGTAGGGTAACTTCTCCTTAGTCGCGTTTTGATTTCTCATTAAGCCGTTAAGGAATTCGGCCAACTCTTGCGGCCTTCTCCTGCGGAAGATAAACAATTTATTACCTTTTCTAACAATTCTATCCATGCCTGTCTCCATTGATGTGACAAGGTAAACTTTGTGTTTTTAATTCCAAATCATAAGTAAAATTATTATTTTTTTATATACCGCTCCTTACAGTATAATCGTGCGTGTGTCCTGTCATATCGCCGTAATACATCACAGCGTCTACTTAACATTACATTAGCAGTGTTCATGGTTTTTACTGATTTAGCAGCACAAAGTACATACCGGCTAACTTCGGCATGCGCCTTGATCAATTGTTGATGGATCAGCGAGCACAGCTTGTAGCAAACGTTGCGAGTCGTCCCGTCCACGTCGGTTGCCTCGTCAGCTGTGATCAAACTTAAATAGTAACAAAGGCGACCAACAAGTTATAGTCTAGGAATAAGTAACATTTTCACGTATATTTTTGAAGATTTCGACTTTATACCTCATCACTTTTTCGAGCAAAAATCATTTGAATTCATTGAGTACGCAATCAAAATTACAACTTATAACCGTATTTGAAAAATGTTAGCACAAAAATGGGTTTAAAATATATTTAAAAGGAAGTATGGATTGGTTATGGTTGCATAGCACGTTACGAAAAAAATCATTCGGCTCATGCAATTAAAGTGTTTGTAGTCGATTAGTAAATCGAATAATTCAATCATAATGGAACAAGTATCTAAGTGTAAGGATTTGAAGGAAGATTAAGATTTACTTTTAAAGGTCATGTTGTCATGTAAGAAAAACCATTAGTACTCGTAGTACAAGTACACCATGTACTAATACTATGTATGAAAACATCATCACTCAGTATCCAATCACATTTTTTGTGAGTAATCAGCAGTGAAGTCGCAAAAAGAATTGTTCTTCCATCTGATTCCATTAAATAAATTGATTCATGTAATTAATTAAGTGATTCGTAGTTTACAGTACACCAGGCCATCACTAAGCTGTCTGTGGTTGTGTCAGTGACCAGTTTGTTTACCTTTTCAGTATTTGGATTGAAAAAGTAAGTTAACAAGAGGTTTTATTTTTCTGCAAACAGAACAAGCAGTATCAGTAATTTATTACGACAGATTGTCAACTTTTGTGGCAATTTCAACTAAACAAGATTAATTTTGAGTAAGTAGGGTTAGCACAAGGCGCGACTAGCGCGAGAGCGCCGTAAAGCGCGACATGCTGCTATTCTCGCTTAGAGACCTCGCGCTTTATGTCGCTCTCGCGCAAGTCGCGTCTATCGTGCTAGCCCTATAGTTTGTGTAGTGAAACAAAATATTTATATAATAGTGTGAAAGACAGCAGCGTTATTATCATCGAGTCTATAACCAGAAATAGAGACGAAATGTCATTTAATTTGTTTGAAAACTATTCTGCCATATCATTACTGTGATAACTGCGCTCCGATTGGCTGGATCGAGTTCGAAACAATTGACGGGTGTCGTCAATGCGTGCCGTCAATTGTTTCACTTCAAATCGACCAGTTAACTTGAGAAATTGTTTTGCTATAATGGACGTAAATTACAAAATTACATATTTAATATTTAATTACCGATGTAATGTGATTTCGTTTGTTTTGTAACTAGATGTTTTGCTGTTTTTCCCACACCACCGAATAGAACAGCACAGCATTGTTAGAGATATTATCTTTATTACAATAAATACAGAATATTTTTTGGAACATACGGAGACGTACGCACAGGTCAGTAGTTGGCCTGTCTATATATCAGTGCAAACGAGAGTTGATATTTATAAGAGCTGTATCGCTAATGTGTTACCAGGAATATATGGCCCTTATTTCGTCTCTATTTCTGGTTATATACTCGATTGTTATTATGCAGAAAGAAATCAATAAATAACAATTATGGAAGAAATATCAAGAGCATAACGTTAACAAAACTCTTTGAACATGTAGCAATTGGGTCCATGCAGTATACTCAACTTGATTTGCTGTTTGTTTTAAGTTTGAGATAGATATTTTTGTAGGAATGACACTAATTTTGGTATCATGGTTCAATACATTTACAGTTACAGTTTACAATTGCACTCAGCTTGTTTCCTGTGGATAATTAGATTGTTTGTATCTCACCGTTTTCACTGCCCGAAGGCTCCTTTGAAAGGTTTTGATCGGATCCCGACGCCTGAGCCGGGTCGATGTTCAAGTGTAGATCCTTCTTTGACGGAGTACTTTCAACCTGTAGTTAAAACCATATGCATTTAATTAACATTTTCACTGTCCGGACTAGTACTATATGTGGTAAACACTCCTCAAAAATTGTGTTACGGTTCAATACCAATCATAAGGTTTAAGACACTTATTCTCACTAGGAATTAATTACATGACAATACTGAGATACATATTACAAGTTTTTTTGATTGTGAAAGCATACAAGGACGGTAGCTCGTCTTGGTTACAAAATAAATGTAATAAATGATTACAAAATTTTGTAACTAAATAAAGAACTTACTTAAATTAAACTAGCTGGTATCGTCTTCGTCTGCGTAGAATAAGTACTTCGAATATCCTATTGTACTATACTAATTTTCATAGTTAATAATAATAATAATAACGCACACACTCAACATAGCCCCGCACTAGGGAAATCCTGTGTCGCGGGTACCATGGACACACACATAGACAACCACAAATTACACCCAAACTCACGAGAGAAATAAATGTAGGCCATACAAATATTTCTCTCGGCTCGGGAATCGAACCCGGTGACCTCTGCGTGGCAGTCCGGTATGGTAACCGTTCGGCCACGGAGGTAGTTATTGGTTCTCCATAAAAACTTTCATCGTCTATTTCATCCCCTTTAAAATTTATTTTATTGACAAAAAATAACCTGTGTATTTGACTCATTTGATGTGCCTTGAGGAAGCGACCAGGGTGCGGTAACGCGTATTTGATGTTTACTGTGTTTGTCGAATAGGCAAACAAGACCAATACTTTGTCACACATGGTATCGACACATGGTGATTGTTTCTCAAGTATATTTCTTATACTAACTGCCTCCATGGCCGAACGGTTACCAAGCCGGATTGCCACGCAGAGGTCCCGAGTTCGATAACCGTGCCGGGAGAAATGTATAGCCTACATTTATTTCTCTCGGGAGTAGTTTGTTTGTCTATGTATGTGTCCATGGCACCCGCGATACAGGATAGCCTTAGTGTGTGTGTGTTATTATTATTATTATTATAAAATACGCAAATACTAATTAAAAATTTTGCTCGAACACAAGGTGTGGCCAAGAATAAACAGACAGAACTCGCAAGAGTAAAGAAAATTAATCTTGTATAACGCTGCTATAGCATTTTTGTGCGTGATAGTCACTCTCGCGCTTATAGAGATAATCGACATGACGGTAATTTTTTACACTATAATTCCAGACAGTTCGGGGAAACCATATTTTCTGTTTTTGTGCTCGTTCCAAGCTCATGAGTACTACGTAGTTGTATTTGGGAAGTCCACTTACCTCCATGGGTTCAACGCAGACATTAGTTGTGATGATAGTGCGAGTAGGCTTGTCCTCTTCGTCGATAGACATGGCATCGATGGGCGTCGCCTCAGCCGACGGCTCGTTGGAAAACAGTCGCGCGAGTTGTTCGTGGACGCGCCTCTCGCCTGCGCAAGGTGTGGTTGCACCACGTTCACGCACTCGTTCTAAAAGACCCTGTGGAATAGAAAATGTCATGACCACCTTCTTGAAATTTTATTAGAAAAAGAAAACTCTTCTATGCCAAACAGTTGCGTATGAAGCGTATTGAACCGTCTATCACAACTGTCTGTGAACTACAGTGGTATTATTTTATTACGTCAGAGGGTTCGTATAATCTCAGTACAGAGTACTAAAAAAACCGACCTCAAAAGTACGTGGAATTACGTCTATTTGCTAAGTTTTATTGAAATATCCCCTAGTTCGCCACTATACAGGACTTGACACTGGAGATACAAAAAAAACATACAGTCGATTTGAGAACCTTCTCCTTTTTTGAAGTCGGTTAAAGAGTAAATAAATTTGCTCGGATACTTGGTGACGAACACTTAGTCTGGGTGTTCTGGGAAGTGCCTCGAAGTGAATTACGTTGCTCTGGTACTCATAATACAGGGAATTCTCTAGTTAGATCTAGGAGAGCCGAAGTCGTAGTAGAGAAGAAGTCGGTATTATACAGGATAAACGGAATGTGCTGTAGAATAGCATGATTTAATCCGCCTTCCCCTTTCCAGCATCGGGGGACTAGGCATAGGTTGGGGTTCCACCACTATATTGAGGATATTCCAATTTCGGAACTTATTGTACTATGAGTATCAAAGCAACGGAATTCACTCCGGGACACTTCTCACTACTCAGAACACCCAGACCAGAACCAATTTAGAAAAGATCTTTTCCCAAATTGGTCCTACCGAGAATCGAATCGACCACAATACAAATCCTTGGGCTGCAATGGTCGTCAAATTTAATAAGTAATATTAGCATATCGACTGTGAACTGGCAATCGGTACTATCTCAATTTTGACAATTTAACAGTATGAAGAAAAAATTGTTTGCGGTATTTATATAGCATCTGGTCCCCGTAGCATGGCTGCACATGATATTCGCGACGCGCGCGATAAAATTGAAATAAGATTATTATTCAATTTTATCGCGCGTATCGCGACTATCATGCGTAGCCAGGCTACGGAGCCTGGTCTATTAAATACAAATACGTAGTTTTTTATTACACATATACGTATGTACACTACGTATTTCTGTTTAATAAACCAGATGCTATATAAATTACTTTTTCTTCATTGTGTAAAGTTGTCAAAATTGAGATAGTACCGGTTGCCAGTTCACAGTCGATATTTATATTCACAGACTTACCAAGAAATGATCCTCGTGGAAGAACGAAGTGCCCATGAGCCGGTCTAAGAACCGACAATCCTTATACAGATTGAGAAGTTTACGCATGATCTGACAAATAAATTACGAAAATTATATAAACAGCTATGGTAACCTAGAGGGCGAACGGTTTCAATTGAGAGATTGATCAAATGGCGGCATGTACGGACTTTAATTTTTAAGTTACGTGTAATTTGTAAAATTTTAGTAACATTCCTTACGCTAGCGGTAAAGTAAAATATGGTGATGAAATTTGCAAGTCAAAGGGTCACAACCTGCATTGGGCCAGTGGCGCACTATGTCCTTAACCATATTATAAGACAAGTAGTGGTAACTCCATACAAACGTAGGAGCGCTGCTTGAATGTGTGCATGCCTGACCCATACCCTCGTATAATCTCGTGGTGCACTCGCGTTGCCAAGCGCGGGTCGCATCACGTACCATTCATTATAGAAATGAAGCCTTCACTCGGTGTTTAAAAAATGACATGTAATAGTAAATGCTTTTACTGTCGTGTTTTTGCTAAGTTCAACAAGAATACCTCAAATTCCGAAATGTTTTTCATTTCTATTTCATAATCCTACTCCTAATTGAGATACCAATCCGCGATGCTGGTACAAAGATATCTGCATTAACACTGCATTTAACGACGTTGTTTCAATATAGCACGACATTTTTTTTTATGATACTAAGTAGCAGGACCAACAAGCCATGTGCCTGGTGTTAAGCGACACGCCTGTCCACAGTAGTTGTAGTGCCACTCAGAGCTATAAATCATAAAGGTCTGAGGGACACTGCCACTGCGCCTGTCAGCCAAAGATATAAGTTGACAAGTCACATGTGCCTGTAATTTCATCAGCACCCTTACCCTTCAAAACCGAAACACAGTAATGCACACATTACTGCTTTGCGACAGAAAAAATAATAAGGTGGCAGTACTTCCCAGGACGAACTATGTTTGCAACCTGTAAAAACCACTAAATTAATATTGTGATAACCCTACGCACCAAGTGACGTGTAGGCATTGAGGCATTGACGCTGTGCAGACAGAAGTTGCACTAGTGGTCTTATTGCACTATGCCTTAAGCCTCTCTCTCTCGAGGAGATCAGTGCTCCAAATGAGAGTTTGTAAGTAATTTGATAGGATAATAAGTTCGTAGTTTATTTACGTAGCATAGTGTATTTAGTGTATTTTAGTAGCAGTCGAGCTCCTTGTGAAAGAGTTCGTCCAGGGAAGTACTGCCACCTTACCTATTTCTGCCGCCAAGCAGGAATGTCAGCATTACTGTGCTCCGGTCTTAAAGGGTAACGGTGCTGGTGAAATTACAGGCATATGAGACTTGTCAACTTACGTCTCAGGGTGACGGGCGCAGTGGCAGTGCCCCTCAGATCTTTGCGATTTAAAGCTGTGAGTGGTACTGCAAGTGTTATGGACAGGCGTGTAGCTTACCATCAGGCGCACGACTTGTTCGTCCAGTCACATGATACTATAAAAAAAATTAAAAGGAACCGAAAATACAATTACGGCTATGGAGTTCTTTGATTTATTTGATGGACAAAACCAATCTGAACTATTAATAAAGTTATTAGCATGTATAGATGTTTAAAAGGATATGAAATGACAGGTTAGTTTTTTGTTATATGATTAACATGATAAAAGTGTTCTTTCCTAGTTGGAACGACGCGATAACACGGTATTGACTATACAGTGTTATTGCGTCTATATCGCTGTAGTATATAAAACTGACAATCAACAACTTATAAAATCCAATTTCGATTTAATATTTGGTTATGTGTAAAATACTAACTTCGGACGACTATATTACTAACATCACAAACAATAACTTTTGTTCCATGACTTTCAATAAATTTATCAGATTTTACTTTCGTACAAAAATAAAATATTTCAGTGTAGAAAATTCAAAGGAAGTGATCACACGTATGCGTTACTACAAGTGCCTTCTCTTCTGCCTAATCTCTGATAATCTCGAAGGACGAAGCGAGAGTGTAATAAAAATATTTAAATAGACTTCTCTAAACGGTGATAACTCTGTGCGGTAACAAAAGAAAGTGTCAACCAGTCTGATGCAAAACGCAGGAGTTGGGAAACTTACTATATTACTACAGATGTAAAAAGTATCAGATAGTAAGTCGTGGAATAAAAGTTGTTGTTAATGATGTTAGTAACAATCGAGGTTATTAGTATTTTACAAATAACTCTATAGTGTTTAAGGTATAAGTGTGGTAACCACGTGTACCTCTTGGCTCTGCAGTGTGGGATGCTTAGCGAACATCTCTTCAAGGCGTCGCATGGCAACCCGTCCTCTCTCTATGTGTTGCGCCACTCGTGGCTCCAGCAGCCGCGGTACGATCGCAGCGGACGGCACCTCGACCATCGCCGGTGCTGCCTCCTCCGGTGGCGTAGGGGGCACTGAACATTTATTGTGTATTTTATAGCAAACTTAAATACACGGTTATATTATTTCACTTTACTTGTAATTTTCGAACCTCGACAAAAATATCGGCAATTTCGTACTAAATATTCAATGGATAGACGATTTACTTTTTACAACTTAAAGGAGGCTCTGCTTAGTTCGCAGAGCCTCCATTAAGTTGTTACAACCAGAAAACCACAGAAGTTAGAACTAGTCGCCAAAAATATCGTGAAATAAAAAAAATGACGTCATAATACCAGAAAAAGTATTGAGTTATTTTAATAGTATCATCGCCGGTGCTGTCTTATCGACGGCTCTATTTAAAAAACAGGCAATTCCGGTGCACAAAGCTGACAAATCATATTCCGGCCCAAAGTTGTCACATGAATATAGTAGTGTAATAAGGAAAAAAACTATTTTAGATTGGTTATATATAATCGGAACTACAGACACATTAAAGGCTGCACTTCACATGTTCATATTAGCGACTGGATGTTTGTTGTACTTGGACAAATACTTGACGTGCGATACACCTGCAACTACTGACACATACGCACATGGAGCCAAATAAGGAGTTAAAATAATGAATATGACCATAGTGTGGACGGTTTACTTGCGAAATTGCTATTTAACCCCTTTGATGTGCGTCAAGAAACCGACAAACGCGCGGTATCGCATGTTTGGTGTTTGTTATATTTGTCGAATAGCGAACAAGACAAATACTTTGTCACAACATGTACTATGTACACTCAGAATATAGATAGAGAGATATTAATAGCAATGTGAAGCGATACAATAACATTTTTTAATGATTAAAATTGTTTGCCAAAGTTGTGTAATAGTCACAGAAAAATATAGACCCTAATCACGTAGGTATTTCCTAGAATGGGAAGTCATTGTAACTAAATTTTTTATGTTTAATTAGCTATTTTGTTGTAGGATTTGTTTAGTACATTCTAGGGTCGGCGGACTAAAGCACAAAACTAAAAAAAGTGCTTCATTTTTTAATACATAATTATTTATTTTTTGTGTTGAAAGATTGTGAAGAGAATGATAAATTTGAAAAGACGCTACTAGAATTAAATTAAAGAAATTAAAGTTACACATTAATGAAGTAACAAATTAATTTGCCATAGGTGCTTTGACTTTTTTTGTAGATCAATTAATTTAAAAGAATGATGTTGAATATTGACTTATGTGCTTTAGTTCGCCGACGCTAAAATTTATTATTATTATTCAACTTAAGGGTAGATACTGACGTGCAGGGAACTTGGGCGGTTCGTTAAGCGGCTGAGTCGGCGTGGGCGGTTCGTTGTCGTGCGCCGAGCTCTGCGTCTCCCACGAGTCGTCAGACGCGGAACCCTCGGAGCCCCACAGCTCACCGTCCTCGGAATCATACTCGCCAACCTAAAATACACAAAGAGACGTTGAAATTAACGTTTCCATTTTATATTAAAATATCAATGTGCTGCCGTCTAGCGGTCAAGAGCTGAAAGACGACGCATTCGAGACGTTTACTTAGTTCTCCAAAAAAAAAAGCGACCATATTGCAGCGGTACTTTAATTTCTTGTAACAAAAAAAAAATATGATTAACAGAAATTTTAATACTTATCAAAATGAAATAAAATAAAACAACAATCATATGAAACACCACTATAGATAATATTACAAGTGCGATTATCATTTTTGCACTCCACAGTAGCAAAAGAAGGCATTTTTCTAAGATTTTCGAAGTTTTGCGCGAGATTAATTGACACAACCATGACGTACAAAACGAAAATGGCGGACTGAGCTTAAGTATGTGGAACGTCGCATACTGTTGGCACACGTGACACGCAAACTAAGCACTTCCACTGTATTTAATGTTCTGTGACACAATATGTTTACTATATGCTATACGAGAATTACGTTACGTCAAGGATATAATTGACTCGATAACTAACCTTATAAAGATCCTGTGGCCAGCACATGCTAGTATGACCATCCACCCACCACACTTTGACGCGGCCAGACGGAAAATTGTCGATGACCTGTGGAAAGAGATGTGAGGTTTGTCATTGGTAATTTTTTGTGAAATATATCTACTAGTTTTTATTATGAATAAATAAATAATACAAACATCGAACACAGATTTTTTAAATCTCAATAATACATTTAATCAAAAAGCGACATCTACGTCAATTGAGGCACCTGTAAAGGTACCGGCTGCAGTGAAGAAGGTTTTAACGTAACTCACTAGATGTCGCTAGCGGCGCAGAATGTTAAAAACTCCAGTAAGTTAACAAAAACATCTAGGAGAATTTCAACAACTAGATACTCGTAGGTCAGTTGGCAAGAGCAATGCTTACGGAGCAGTATGGTCGTGGGTTCAAGTCCCATCGGGTCGGGGAAAGTTATTCTAATGTGTATGATCTTTGTATTAATAATTATAATCCACTAGTTATTATAAATATTCATACAAAGTCAATAATTATAGAAGACTTGGTCTGTAGCTCAGTTAATAGGAGTGGTGGCCACAGTGTGGCTACAGACGCTGGTTTGAATCTATTCAGATCGAAGGAGATTTTTTTTGTATCAATAGTAATTACCATAATAGATCGGTTGCCGGTCGCAGTAATGAGGGTATGCGCATACGTCGAATACAGTCATTCTAATAATGAACTCTACGACATAGAAAACCAAAATCTTGTTCAGTAACGTCTACGGCCTAACTATAACTTAAAATCTTACAAAAGTTATTGGAAATGTCATAAAATGTGATGGTTCCATTTGAACTTTCAGAATGGCTTTGCCCAGAATGTTTTAAAATATTGTCATAGAAGCGTACTGAACGAGTTTAAGTAATAAATAAAATTGACGTAAACTGCATTAATTAGAAGCACGGGATATAAACTAAACAAATTGAATGGGGTCCCTATAATCCTTTCAAACGACGATATAAAATCAGCTGCTTCTACGAAATGTTCAAGTGTGCTGGCCCAAAATGGAAACAACTTATTATTAAAATTGTCCTTGAAACAATTTCAGTTTAGTATTGTTAAATATAGCGTCTAAGCAAAGGTTAACAAGACCTCGGTCCACCATGCTTTCTTATAACCTCCCAACCGTGTAACTTGAAACCGAGCACATTTCCGAAACCCGTTTTTCCCATACATATCCGAAGTCCGTTCTTTAGGTTTGAAGATACATGTCGTTGAAGAGTTTTGTTCCGTTTAGTCTAGTTTAAGAATATCCTCGGGGATAGTGCAATTACGCGTAACTAGCATTTGATTATGAGTCTCCATTTCGGTAATTTAGTCCCTAAGTCAAATCCGCGTGTATGTCGTGGCAATCAAATTAGCGTGGTGTACGGGAATCTATTGTTATCAGTCCGTAGACAACATAAATTAATGCTTACTGTGCAAAACGTAAAGTCGACGCCATTGTCATAACAAAGCAATAACGTCAAATTCATCTCCTGTGAAATTTGGTTTGGTGCAGATACACGCTTTTTACCAATACGCGGATTTGCACCATCCCCGACGATATGTTGTATTACCTGTCCAGCAGTGCAGTTGGAGTCTTCGCCGGTAAAGTTGGCGACGCGAATGACTACCGTGCCAGGTCGATATTGGAAGTCCGGGTGGTCCTTTAGGTCGTACACGCTCACTTCACTCTCGTGTAGCATTTGGGGTCTGTAGATACAATGAATTTAAATAGCAACGTTTTAATATTCTTCTTCGAAGTCTTCCACTAAATGAGAATCAGTATTGCAGATTTTAATGGAAGGTAGCGTCCCGCCTTTCTGTTAAACCTGTCCATCAACATCCAACAAATTGACTTTCTGTTCCATTTCTAGGGTCGGTGGACTAAAGCACATATAAGTCAAAATCCAACATCATTCACTGAAATTAATACATCTACTGGTTAAAGCACATAAATCAAATTCATTTGTTACTTCATAAATTTCGAAATTTATTCTAGAGGTATTTAACTGCCAACACTAAAAACAACACAAAAAATATATAATTATATATTAACAAATGAAGCACTTTTTTACTTATGTGCTTTAGTCTGTCGGCCCTAGAATTAAGGCGAAGACTTGTTATTGAAGATGTTGTTATTATTAACCGACTTTCAAAAAGGAGGTCTCAAATCGGCTGTATTTTTTTAGTGTGTGAATATTACGTACGTTATGTACATTACTAATAGTATAGTCAAGGCGACAATATATGGCGGATTTTTTACCCGCCTCTACAGCAACAAAAGAATTATAATCGATAAATATAATAGGTATGAAACTCACACAGGCTCGTCGGCACTGGTGTAAGTGCGGTACCAATGCACTATGGCGGTCCGTCCATGATGGTCCACACGTTGTACCACGCCATACTCTCTGTGCTTTAGCTTAAATCAAATATCAATACATGTATAAATCAAATACATTCAATATAAGGTAAAGCTTCATACTATTACTGTCTGACTAAATCCATGTGTGCACGCCTTGTGATATTATTAACAAAAAAAAATATAACATTTCTTTACTCTGTTGATAATGATTGATATGTGAATAAATGTATAATATAATATACCCTCAATATGTTTGTGTCTAATGTTGGACACAGTGAAACTATAATTATTTTGTAATATGCCAATTTTTATACAACCTGTGTAATTACAATTAAATTAATTACGAAGCGTTTGAAACAAAGCGAGGAATTTACCGCAGTCAAAGGCTATGTTGTACAGCAATAGCGTAGCGTTTAAAAATGTAAAAATGAAAGGCAGGAAGGGCCTCTTGTAGGAGGGGTTATTGTATAGAAAATTTCCCAGTGCACCTTTCATAATTAATTCATCATAAAATAATCACATATATCTTTAGTTGGTAGCTGGAAAATAAGTTATACAATTGTACCTGCTGGTTATCTTCGAGATTCGCGGCACCACTGACGACAAAATCTCCCGGGAAGCATTCTTGTCCGTCCAGGTGATGAATCGGGTATAGCTGCGTCGACGGTATGTCCATTTCGATAGTGCCGTCCTGTATAATCATTTCAATTTAGTTACTATGTCAATTTAAACAGTTACTACTTGCTATCTCATTGTGCGTCGGTATTTGATTGCCGCTGTAATGATTTGCATAACTTAAAATAGATTCAAAATCATAACGTAAATCTAAATGAAAATGTTGGAATACTCTTACAGTTATATTTTAAGTTAATTTTTTCACCAGACAAGAACGCTTAAATAAAAATATAAAACATTGATTTACAGGTTTATATTTTTTATTATTAACAACAACAATTAAAATAAAAAAGATCTGAAATCTGTCTGTCAGGGTAATTGGTCCAATAGAGAAGAAATTAATGTCAAATGATTATGAACTCATAATTGCATTTAAGGGTATGGCAATAGTTGCTGGACTCAAGTGTGCATTTGAGGCACTTATCGAAGTTCAGCACTTAAAGAAAGTTCGAAAAACAATGCGTCGGCTAAATTAGAAAAACTAGTAACTCCGTTTACGGTCGACAACACTTTTTTACTTTTTAACCGACTTCAAAAAAGGAGAAAGTTCTCAAATCGACTGTATGTTTTTTTTGTACGTATGTTACGCGATAACTCCGGTATCTGTGAAACGATTTTCATGATTATTTTTTTGTTGGAAAGAGGGTACCTCCATAGTGGTCCCATTTAATTTTGAAGAAAATCATCCACCTCTAAGGGTGGCTGTTCACGCATGAAGATTCATTTTTATAAATAGCGCCTAAATTTTATTATAAGGAGCAATTATTTTAATGGTTGATTTTGCTATTCTCCAATCCAAGGCGTTTTTCTTTCAATATACATTCAGTAGTGAGAACCGCTTTTTATTATCTCCTGTGTCAAGTCCCGTATAGTGGCGAACTAGGGGATGAATCCGGGTTTGCGCACTTTCCGGTAACCGATTTCAATAAAACTTGGTAATTATATGTAATATGAGTACTTTTGAGGCCGGTTTTTTTAGTATTCTGTACTGAGATTATCAAGCGCAATGTCGGACAATCAAAACTTAAAATATAATTTGTGGGTCCTTTTTTAGTTATAAAATGATAATATAATTATATATTGTCATATAATTATTTGTGGTAACTCTAGTTTTTGTGCCTACTTAAAAAATAATAATTTTAATGTTTTAAAGTGACTGCGACGCCTTTGGCAAGGCGGAACAGTCTGCGAAGGCGGCGGACGACTTAGCGTAAACAGCGAGTTGATTGCGTCGCATTCGGTAAGGCGAAGTAGAAGACGACCCGTCCATATGTCTGTTTATATATACAATGCATTTTTTGCATTTCAGTTACTTTATGCTTTAAGATACGAAACGTTTGAAAAAGTGAAGGGACAAAATTAGGGTTCCTTACTTGCCAGACGACGTTGGCGCGCGAGGTGGTGTGCAGCGTCTCGACGACGACGCGGTCGCCGAGGCGCGGCGGCGGCGCCGGCGGCGCGCGGCGCACGGCCCGCTTGAGCCGCTTGCCGCGCAGCAGCCGCACCGCCAGCTGCGGCGAGCGCTTGCCGCGCTGCGACGCCGCCGACGAGCACCGAGATGACCACGTGGCCCCACTGAACGACACATCGTACAATGCACCCCTTAAAATTACTTTACTATAGTCAAAAACATCGAGTATATAACCAGAAATAGAGACAAAATGTCATTTAATTTGTTTGAAAACAATTCTGTCATGTCATTACGGTGACAATTAAGCTCTGATTGACCAGCCCGAATTCGACAAGGGCGACGTCAATTGTTTCACTTCAAATCGACCAGTTTGACTTCAGCTTTGCTATAATGGACGAAAATTTAAAAATGACATACTTAATTAAAAATGAAATGGGATTCCGTTTGTTTTGTAATTAGATGTTTTGATGTTTTTCCCACACCACTGAATGGAACAGACCCCAATGTTTTTTTTTTCAAAAATCAAAATAATCTTTATTTCATAGGTAAGCATTATTACACTTGAAATCGTCACATTGGTTAAACTCTATCGTTCATTCGTAAGGCAGTTTCCCCTGAGAAGAATTAGCAAGAAACTATAGGGGTTGTTCTTTGTAAATAACATTTGTACACATTCAACATTTACAATTTCTTTTTGAAATATCAGGGATCGAGAGTACCTCCATGAGCTAAACGGTTTACAACCATGGATTTTTGTCATCTAAGTATGCAGAAGTTGTATAATAACCTTTAGTATAAAGTTTTTGTTTTACTATAGTTTTAAATCTCGTGAAAGGCAAATTTTGTATATGAACCGGAATCTTGTTATAGAAGCGTATACATTTCCCCACAAATGAATTTGTGACTGTGTGAAGACGACTATTAAGAAAAAACAGCTAGTTTATTTTTATTCCTCGTATTAATGTTATGTCTGTCACTATTTTTCATAAAAAATTACTATTCCTCTTAACATAAATTACATTTTCATAGATGTACTGTGAGGCTAGTGTAAGAATGTTAATTTCCTTAAACTTATCTCTCAAAAGTACTCTGGGGCCCAGATTGCAAATTGTCCTAACCACACGTTTCTGCAGGACAAAGATTCTATTGATATTACCCCAAAGCAAAATGCCGTATGTCATTAGACTGTGAAAGTAGCTGAAGTAATCCAATCTAGCGGTTTCGACGTCTGAAAGTTTCCGTATTTTTTTAATCGCGTACACTGCAGAGCCGAGCCGTTTTAATAATTTACTTATATGTGGACCCCATTGCAATTTAGCATCTAACGTTATACCTAGAAATACAACTGTATCCATAAGATTCAATTATTCGTTTCTAACTACAATGTTTGTGACCATCTCTCTAACATTGGGTAATGTAAATTTCACACAATTTGTTTTTTTCTCATTAAGGAGTAGGTTATTAACAGCAAACCAATCAACTACTGGAGATATAGCATGTTAGAGAGATATTATCTGTTAGAGGTATTATGTTTATTACAATAAATACAGAATCTTTTTGGAATATATGGAGACGTAAACACAGGTCAGTTGTTGGCGCTGTACTATTTCAGCTTTCTAATTTGTGCTTTCAGCGCAAACAAGAGTTGAAAGTGATATAAGACCCATTTGCTTATTTCGTCTCTATTTCTGGTTATATACTCGATGGAGAAAAACAGTTCATTGCGCAAAAGTGTTGCCCGCTTACGAGCAGCTAGTGATTGCAGTCGATTAACATTCTATCGATTATCGACTGAATATTGGTCACGCTTATGGAATAAATAGCCGAGCTTGTTTTATTTGAATCATCCTTGACCCATTATTCATCCAATTAAACACAAGTTCATTTGAATTGCAAATTTTTGTGAAGCTCATATATACATACACTGTATTTAGAACTATCTTAATGAAAAGTACAAAGAGGAGACATATTTTAAAATTTTTCATTTTAATTCAATATAGGCAATCAAATCCGCAATTAGTAATCATTAGAAAGTCATAACATTCACTATTCAGTAATATTTGGCAAAATTTTATCTTCTTTCACAATCTATCGATAAAACTATCGACTACAACTACATAACTGTTCAAAATTATATGAAAACTGGCAACCCCACAAATGACATTTTACTCCGTCTTCAATAAAAACACACTATACACGTAACCCACGACAATAAACATTTAATTACATCGTTATTCATTATATCGTTATTCATTATTTGATAATAACATAATGTAAGTTTTAAAGTTAGGCAATAAAGTGTATATACTACCTAATTGAGGAAAGAAGACACGTAACAGAAAACTACCTGTAAAATATTTGAAAATAAAAAGAACTGGAGGTCTACTACGAAATAAGATACTACGTGACAACGAAGCTCACACGTACTACACATGCCAGTTTTACTATGAAATTAAAATCAAAATTCGATACTATAGCTGTCATATGAGCTTCGTTCTTTTGTTACCGGACACTTCAGCATGGCGGTTGATTTTAAGTTAGACGATTTAACTTTATAAGATAAGGCGAGAGGTAAAGGACTTTAAGTCCATATTTTGGAATTTAGATATTTGTACAACAATGCTTTAGAATCATAAAATGTCACGAAAAATTTCACGCAATGCATTGACTTACAAACAAATGGACGACGGGTCTAATACAAAACCCACGAAAAAAAATGTCCCAAGTCAACCTATTTAAACGTAGTGATATGTAAAGGAATATGAAAAAGCTAAAACGTTGAATTTAAATTGTAATGTCATTGCAGTACTGCCTAATTTTGCTTACAACAATTGAAAGGCGCAAAAAAACACCATATTCAATTTCTACTGGAAACTTACCAAAATGCACCATATGTAGCTTCTAGTGAAAACTACTTGAACACAGGTATAATGGAGTAGCCTTTATTATTTATAAATAATTTTTATACGTAAATGTTGAATTTTATACAATGCCATTTATTATGAGCTAGAGTGTCTGACTTTTTTTTCTTGAGTTTCGAGAATTCTCGTACCCGATTTCTCGAGTTATTCGAGATTTTTTTTAAAAACAACCCCGTAACCCGTAACCCCGAGCCGTAGAAAGAGTACAACAATATTTGAAACTATTACTAACATGTATTAAAAAATATTTTAATAATAACATTAGCGACTCTATGAATTTTTTGTTCTAAATATTTCAAACGCTTGTGTTTCAAACAGTTGAAATTGATGTGATAGGTCTCGTTCAGTCTTTTACGCAAGCAATAAGTCGGAAAGAGACAGTTAGCTATTTGATTATTTTGATTGCTTTTGTAATTTATATTTACGATTAATTGAAATATAAATTAAATACGTTATATACCAGTGCATAAAATAACACTTTTAAATGATAAATATGATAACACAATGTAGTACTTACTGAAAATATGATATGCCATCCTGTTTTTTGACTTTAGTTGAGTAATTTTTACAAGGTTTTACCACACAATACGGCATCATTGACAAGCGCGCTGTCAGTCGAACAAACGAAGACTAAAGCGTGATTGACGCTGTGTATACGATTTTAACGCCCTGTAAATTCGGACACTTTTTAGCCCGGACCCGACGTCCATTTATTTGTAAGTCAATGACGCAATGGTAAAAAACTTGAAGTCCTATCGTTTGTTTTTAACTGACGTCAAAAAAGGAGGTTCTCAATTCGACTGTATTTTGTTGGAAAGAGGGTACCTCAGTAGTGGTCCCATTTAAATTTGAAGGAAATATTCCACGCCTAAGGGTGGCAAATAGGGGATGAATCCGGTTTCGCGCATTTTCCGAAAAAAAACCGTTTCCAATAAAACTTGGCAAATAGATGTAATTCCACAAACTCCTGAGGTCGGTTTTTTACACAGAAATATATTTAGATAGACGCCTCAAGTGTACTTCGCGTGCCCATAGTAAGTGAAATTCACTTAGTTGCCGCTGCTACACTTCAGAACGCGCTCGACCGTTAGCGTAGATAAACACCAGTCGAAAACGCGAAATATGTATAATTGTGCCATTATAAACTGCAAAACGCTAGCCTGCCAAACGCTATACCAACGAAGCCACGAAACGAACCAGCGGACCTCACGAATCCTTCTATGTGCTTGTGTTGTGTCTTTGTCGTAGCGCCATCTATGAGAAATCTATGAAAGATTTACCATCCAGTTAGTACCTTTACCAGTCCCGGCGAGAGATGTCGCTGTTCTGGCACGGTAAGCTGAAAGGCGTCGGTTCGAATCCGGGAGGATCGAAGGAATTTTTTCCGAGTGTTCGATCTTTGTATTAATAATTATAACAGTAACATTTTCATTCGTCTTGCCATTCATCAATTTGATCAATTACCAACAGAAAACCATCTAGTAAAATTAATTATGCAATCGCATATATTATACATTGACATGCCTTTTCATTATTTAACTTAATCGATAAGATCTTCTATTACAAAAACATGTTATGTAATAAGCTCATTTTATTCGAAGGACAATAATTTTAATATTTGAAGTCAATTAAATATTAAAGTCTTAATTTTTTTACGTAATCAACATTTTTTTAAAACAAGTAAAATAAAGGACTAAACCATTTTATTTTAGTATTTTTCTACCATATTAATATTACGACTACTAGTAATCAACAAATACTTGAACAATAATTATTCTATTTAGAATCGATTAATTGAATGGAATACGCGTAAACACGCGAGAATGAATGACAATGTAACAGTGCGCTGTCTTTATAAAAACCTGGAATTGGTCATACGTATGAGTTCGTTGCTTTCAAGGACGAAGGTGGTCTAGTTTATCCCACCAAAGATACTATCCAAATATGAAGAGTAGCAGAGTTAGAAATCCGAGAAATCATGATTGGCGAATGGCAAGACTACTTTGATCACACCAATTTGATCTATCACCGACGGAAAACTATCAAGTAAATTTAATTAAAGCAGTTGCAAGTTCATATTGACGTGCGTTTTCATTATTTAAGTCAATCGATAAGATCTTCAATTACAAAAAGGCAGTTATATAATAAGCTTATTTTATTTCAAGGACAATAATTTTAATATTTGAAGTTGATTAAAAATTTAAATTTAAGTTTTTAAGTAATCAAAATTTTTTAAAAATAAGTTTTAATAAAGGGGTCCTTATTATTTATATACTAAATATAATAATAAGATAGTTATATAATAATATATAACTATCTTATTCTCGTATTTTTCTACTATATTGATATTTTGCGACTACTTGTAATCAACGAATACTTGAATCGATTAATTGAATGGAATGTGTGTATTCCGTTCAATCAATCGATTTGGCGCGGAAGGAGGGTTCCCATCACTAAATAGTTCTTGTGATGTCATAGTGGATACAAAAAACGTGGCACGCTCGGTTTTCATTCAAATTGCTGTACTTGCGGCGTCTATCTAGATATATGTTTGTGGTTTTTTAGTACTTTGTACTGAGAATATTATTTAACATATTTTAATTTTGAAATGCTAAATTCTATACCTTAAAAAGTACATTCTGTTTAAAATAATCTGTAGTAAAAAATGCTATTTCTTTAACCCTCAACTACAGATTTAAACTCCTACCCAGTAGTGGAACGTACATGGGTGGATACAGAAAAAAGAACATCGTGCCTGTTCGCGATTATGTTTATGAAATCACTATGCTGTTACGGTGTTATTAAATATTTGTTAGCATTATATCATGTTCAATAATAAAAATTAAGATAATAGATGTTGCGGGATGTCTCTCTCTAATTATCGAAACATTTGTCGCCAAGTAAATGTATATTGAACCTGTCAGTGTCACTGCCGTCGCTGCTAGTGTTCTCCCAATTGTCGGAGTCATCGTCGTTTAAGGCCGTCTCCAAGGACTTGCTATCGCCGTTCAGTAACGAACTGTCCTCTTTTGCTGGCTCCGGGCTGGTTGACAATCGTAAAAATTTAATGCTACTTGTACAATTGTCCGTAAAAATAGAAGAATAAATAAATGTAATAGATACTATTGGAGTACATAAGCACTTATATATTTTACAACCTCATGCATTATCACCTAAGGTTTTTATCTATGACGGGTTGAATACTTATGTGCATGTAGATTAAAGTGTTAATCTTTTGTTGTTCACATTTTTTTATTTTTAGTTCGTGATTTGATCATGTATAAAACATATTTTAATTACCTCGACGATTCAGACGTATTGCAACGTCTCGGGTCCCTTCGAGACTATGGACGTTGCAATACGTTCGAAACATCGAGGTATTTAAATTAAAATATGTTATATACATGATTAAGTCCCAAACTAAAAATTAAATAATGTGTGAAAATCGTGCAAGTTTAAATCAAAGCACATTTTTTAAATCAACCAATAAAACTAATGAGAAAACGCGGCGTACCTAATGCCAGAATCATTTTTCTCTTCTGTGATGGTATCCTCCAAACTGCTGGCCACAGGCAACGAGTTCACATCTCCGCTAGATTCCACCTTGATAGTTGGACAAGTGCTTTCAGTCTTCAAAGTGTCATCTGGTTCTATGTTATCTTCCGTATCTACTTCCATATCGGTCTGTAAGCAAAAATGGGTTATACATATAAATGAAGTTGCTTCCACAAATCAATGTTTCCTTCTTATAGTTGATGTCTGTAAATGCATGAATAAATGTTTACAAGTAACAAGTACAATTAGTCGTCGTTTTGCGTCAAATCATTACATTCAGAGTCTACCTATTCTTCTTCTTATTTAATAGAGTAATCGCCAACCATCTATGTTCAGCGCCTTTACTTCGATTTCCTGATTACTTCGTTCCCATTATGTCGTAACGTTTTATTTATCGTTGGACGACTGTCGCGTCTAGCCTGTTCGCATATCACGACTATCTGTCGTGACTGCGTCGTGGGCGTTTATTTTATCGTTGAATGACTGTCGTGTCTAGCCGTTCCCACTAGATCGTGACGACAATTTATCGGTTCACGGCAACCGCCTTATCGATTGCAAGACAGGATCGTTTGAAGCTACGATTATCTGTCGTCACATTTTGATCGTGACGTTTTATTTATCGTCGGACAACTGTCGTTCTAGCTCCTCTCATTGTCACGACAATCTGTCCTCGTAATATCAAAATAGTCGTGAATGACAGTTAATCGTGTTTTCTATGTGTGAACAACTTCATTTAAATATACAAGTCACGACACTTTCAACTGCACGACTATCTGTCGTCACGACATAATGGGAACGCGCCCTTATTTGGTCTAAATAATTTCGCCTTGATCGTACTCTGTCTCGTCTTCGATTTTCCCCTTTATGATGTTTCTTAGAAAACTATCATGACGTATCGATGCCCAAACATCTCTCTCTCTCTTTCTGTTCTCTATTGTCTTTCATAAGCTCCTTTTTTCTTGCACTATTCTTTTTTTTATGATGCCTTTTGCAACGTGCGATCGGTCCATGGACCATGAGCAATTGTTTTATTATGATCTATTTGGCGTGTTAGGCTCGCCTGCCCTGTATTAGGCTGCCTTCATCTTTCCAACTTCTCCTTCCTTTAGTCCCACATGTGTGGTTCGTCCAGAGCTTGTGCAAGTCTGTTTTCATGTCGTAAGATTCTGTCCTCATAGGCTTTTGTCATGCTACTTATCTCCTGTTTGACAGTAGGAATTTGCAGATAATCATGAATATCATCCATTTTTATGAACCATGGAGCATTTACCAGAGTTTTGAGCACACCATTTTGGTACCTCTGTAATATCTCCAAGTTTGATATACTTGCTGATCCCCACAGTTGTAATCCATAACTCCGAACCGGTTTGAGGACTGTTTTGTAGATGGTTAACTTGTTCTGAATTTGTTGTTGGCGCCATCACGCTTCTTTTGTATGTGTTTTCCAGGTTTGTCTGCGGTCAAGGTAGAGTCCCAAGTATTTAACAACAGTATTGTGGGGTAGCACATCTTTACCGAGTTTCACAGTTGGGCAATCTTCTCATCTCAATGTAAACGTGATGCGATTGGACTTTGCTGCGCTTGCTTTGATTCTCCAGTTATTCATCCAAGAATGTATCTTATCAAGGTGCAATTGCAATACTCTTGCACTATTCTTATCACATTGGTCCCTCTTTCCACACAATTAAATTAGTCTCTTCTCTCCAGCACCACATCTCAAATGCTTCTAGCAATTACTCTGTTTTTCTGGTCATTGTCTCTGTGACACATAAATATAATGCAGTACTCCAAATGTACACCTTTAAGAGTCATATCTGAAGTTACTTATTTAATCTGTCTTACTTTACTACACTTACTTAATTATGCAATGGCTTCTGTACTAACATTTTTAAACAATAAAGCAAGTTTAATGTACATAATATTTTTTGTATATAAATGAATATAAACTTTTTATAGGCTTTTTTATGATTATATATGGATAACAACAAATTTACATAATTATTACAAAATAACACTCACATCAGCAGCCTTAATCTTGCGGTGTGAAGAAGCTCGTTTCTTAGGTCTTGATGGCATATGTTCAGTTGAGTTAGTCTCTGACTTAGAGGATTTCCGCGTAGGCTTCGTTTGCTTGCGAATATTTCTATAATATTTACCTAGAAATAAAATTACACAATAACAAATGACAATTTAGTAATTGACTTTTTTACTGAATAACTTAGATAAAAAAGTTTTTGCTGCTACTGATTTGATGCAGTTGCAACAAATATCTTGAGTAATCACAATGCTTTAACAGAAATGTCAAAAGATGTCAAGTGACAAAGGAAAGAACATGCATGGACGGTGCTGGTTTACAGTTCCCGAATAAATACGTACTCTGTTGTTTCCGCCATTGCTTCTTGGTGATAAAAGTGTCTTCAGGGCCAATAGTGAGGAAGTTCCTATCACCGACCTGCAGTGTGCATGGCTCGAAGACATTTAGTAATTTTAAGTTTCTCAGATCATCACCTATGAATAACAAGAATCATTGTAACTCTGTTGATAAAGGTACATTGGTATAATAACTTAGGGAGTCTGTTTCCTCACTCAATTCATCATAATCTTAAGTAAGGAAATACCTTGTATTGGCTTTTAGACTGTGTTCTGGTCACATTCCAGCTAATAAATTCTTTCATATGATGGGTTTTAAACCATCACCATTGTGCAGTACTTGCAATAAAATAGAGGATCTGTATCATGTATTGGTGGAATGTAACCGTAACGTAACCCTGAGAGGTACAATGTTTGGGAATGTAAGTTTATGCAATGGACAAATTAATTGTTGGCTCAGAGAGCCTGTATGTATTGGTGCTCTAAACTTGTACAAGTTTTTGAACATGTCACTTGAGTAGGGAACCCAGTATTCCTCCCATGAGGCTGACATAGTCACTCAAGGTGGCTCCTCAAAACCTCATTAAAAAAATACGATTAATAAAAATCTCATAATCTTAGTTAAATATATACATTTTAATTAATGTAATATTCACAAGTTAATAATTAATGTAACAGACAAAATATTTTGCTATACATTTATTACCTTCAACAAGAAATTTAGGTTGCTGTGGCTGAGCTTGATCTGAGGGGTGCGTGCACAGTGCACGGCATTGCCAATGCACACTGACGCTCTCCGTTACTACCGCTTCGACTGTGAACTGCATGTAGAAAAATTCAGGACTAATTCTATGGTTTTAACATTATAGTAGTAGCAGAATAGCCAAAATAACTTGAGGATATGAACTAACTGAGCTAATAACTGAACTGATGGATTATTTTAACAAGAAGTAAACCTTATGATCATGCATCTTATGCTTTCTTGCTGCCTTCATCTCCTTAGTGACATGTAACCAGTTGGCATTATCCAGAGAGCCCAAGGGTCCATAGACCACCTGGCCAGGATAGAACTCTGATGAGGAGTAGGGTGTGGAACGGCGCCGGCGCATAGAGTAGTCCTCAAGAGGGCAGCTGTCAAGATCAGGGTATTCCAGCCTGGAGCCATCAGCAGATACAAGACGCAGTTTGCTATGGACAGCCTGGCAATAAAGAGTAACTTATTATTGCACGTTAAAATGGTATTTCATTTAAAGATGCCACAGCAGATTTTAGAACTAGCAGTGCACTTCTTACCACTTACAAGCTTATATCAAGGCTGTCACGCCATAGTGTTTTCTACTCTCAATAAAACAAATAAACTTTAGGGCACACACTGACAAACAATTATGCAAGTTCTTTCAAAATATTATTCACATAAAATATACATGTGGATAGATAGATAGATAGTTTTTTTTTTTAATCTGAATTGGACATTCAGGCGTTTATGTCGGCCTCATAATGTAACATTTAACATACATTGAATAACACTACTCACATATGAGGTATTGCTTCTCATCAGAAAGCAAGACCTCACAAAGGAGTATAGAGCTTCAGCACTCTTCGTCAACGGGTTGCTCAGCATTAAATTTAGCTCTCCCACCTGACCAATGTCTTTTCATTGATATTGGGTCCGACAGCCCGCATATAGATCACATTCCATTAAATGAAGCATGTCTTCCAACTTGTTACAAAATTGGCATTGAGGAGATTCTGCCCTTCTCAAGAGATAGTAAAATTTATTTAATGGAATGTAACCAGAATGTAGTCTAAGAGCAATTTTTAACAGTGGCTTAGATAGGCTACCCTGCTCGAACCAGGGCTTTCTTGGAGAACATAATTGGATAGTTTTGTACCATATAGCCCTTGTCACAGATATCTCATCATAGCTCATAGCCCATTGATCCATATTTAGGTCCCTTACAAATGTTTTATGCAAAAATATTCTAGGACCCAATAAATTTCAGATTGCAAAATTATAGAACTAGTTCTTGTTATTTGGAATGTTTATAAATAGAGAATAAATAACTTAATACATAAAAAAGTTCTTGAGCTTCAAAATAATGAGATTGAGTTGTCATGGTATACCTTTGATGTGCCAACCCAGGAATCGAGGCACACAGCAAGATCAGGGGTGAATTCCTCCAAAGGTTGCAGTCTTTCACTAGCCACATTGGGAATGACATGTTTTGTGCCTACAATTTGAAGTGCTGCAGTCATTATAATTTCTCTGCAGTAGCCTCTCTGCGTATCCTTGCCAGCTATCATTCGACGGACTACATCTCCAGGCATGAGAGACCTGTCAGACAGGCCCACCTGAAGAAATTATGTACTATCATTATTATTGATCATAGAAATGTTCTCGTACTACATATATGTTCAAAAAATACTATTTTAATAGTATATTAAAAAAATTGTGCCCAGAACAAACATTTGTAAATGTGGGTAATTTTCAAGTTTCTTGCTTATTGTTATACTTGTAATACCCTCACAGCTAACTCACAAAATGAAATAAGTATATCAAAATTCCATACCATTCATTTGACCTCGCAAAGAAATAGAGTAGATGAACCTATTATAAAATACCTAACATAATAACTTTTCGACATCATGTAACAATGGTAAAATCTCTCCTGTGCCGGAATGAAATTCACACCTGAAAGCTGTCTCATACTCACAGATTTCTCGGATATAACTCGTTCGGTGCCGGATGGGTGCCAGACAACACGAATTTCGCCTTTTTGAATGGGTGTTTCAGTGTCGCTTTCTTGATCACTCAAGTTGGCTTCATAGTTCTCAAGTACAAGACCAAAAACCACTTGGCCGCTGTTGTTGATTTTATACACTTCATCCTCGTAAAAATACTGAAAGTCAGTTGGCGAACCTGGATTTTGCCCCGCCATATTGACGGGAATTATCGAAAGACACAAATAATTTTGTTTTTACGTGAATGTTCTTTCTGACAGCTGATTGCAATGTGTGGCGCATGCGTGAAATCAATTATGCAATGCAAGCGCCATCTTGCGGTGCAATGCAGTGCGAAAATAACGTTTCAATTTACGTACCGTATATGTAGGAAACGTTTTCAATTATCAAATTATCAATATGTGCTATATTATAACTAAAAATAGAGTTCACGATATGCATTTCATTAAACTTATAGTAGTAGAAAGTAACATTTAAAATAGTGTTATTTAAAAAATTCATATTTTTTTACTTTTATCGATTTTGGAATTTATTCCATGAACTAATCAGAAAAAATAAATCGGAGCGTAACATATAACCTCCAAAATACGAAAATCGTATCAAAATATTGACTTTTTAGTTTTAAAATTACATTTGAGGCTGTACGAGAATTCAATTGATATGAATTAATATAGTTGTTCTCTTTTTCAATCACTTACAACAACGTTGTGTAACATACGATCCCGGAATAACTACGCACTTGCGCAAACGTCCTCGGTAACAAAATCAAAGTATATCACGGAGCGGACCAAGGTCTCCAAGGAGGGGAGAGAAAAGGTAACAGTTTAATGTGTTACAAACTTTTAAAGTTTAATATAATAAAATTTTTATCAAAATTTCCGTTGATAATTATGTAAAAATCTAATCATAAAGGGGCCCGCTTAACTTGACGCAATATTCATTTCATTGTCAAACGTATTATAAGTGCAGGTGTTGGTCGATATGTCATCCAACATTTTTGAAATGTTGGGCATGTGTAAGGCGCTACGCAAAAGCAGCAATTTTATAAGCTTTTTTAAAATTTTCGTATAACGGTTGTCAGTTGCAGCAACAAATAGGCCCGGTTTAGTGCGGGAATACACGTTCAATTTTTCATCCGATAGTCGGATCTAATAGTCTGATTCGACTACCATATATGTATTTATATGAACACTCAACACACGTCCGATCCGGTCGGAGTCGGAAATAGCGTCCGATTTTATTACCGGTCCGATCTCTATACTTTAGCGGGGAGACGAAATACACGTCCGATTCTTCCCTCCGATTTGCAGCGTTGCCAATGCTAATAATTCAAAGTCCAAGGTTATAAATTTGGGGATTTAATTCTCAGTATTTATTATATTATTATTGTTACGCTTAAAAATATATCAATTAATTAAGAAAGTCAAAATGTGCCCATCTATAAATATACGTTACGCTATAATTAGAAATATACTCAACAAGTTAAATTAAGTTTAAACCTTAATATTTAAGCTTGACGAGTGGCAAGTTGTGGTATTGAAATACCTACTGCTCGGCTTTGTTTGGCAACAGCTGTTTTTTTTTTCACACCGGGGACTGGCCAAAACGTGAGGAAGGGTCGCGCGCTCAACACGCACCGACTGATCATCACATCCTATTTAAGAGCCAGGCTCTTGTTGGTGACTGATAATAGTAGTTGTAATTTTACAATTCAAGACAAATGTGTTAAAATGCTAGAACGCGAGGGCACTTTTTCCACATAGCATAATCCCCACAATATCCCCAAACGAGTTGTTCCCTGCTTTTGGGGAATTTCCCATAATTTGGCAACACTGCAGTTAGTTCAGAAAAATCCCGACGAAAGAATCGGACGCCTATCGAACATGTATTGAGTAAATCCGATCCGATAGTTGGATCCGACCATCAGTGGACCAAATCGGATGTGTATTCCCGCGCTTAGGTCTTGCCGCTATTTTAAAATAAGCTTTCGAAATCCTGTATATAAATTCGAGGTCATTGCATTAACAATTTAGCAAGAGCAAGACTGACGCTACGAAACACGGGGAGGCCTTGTAGTCCTTAGAGGATATGGGTCGTATTCCAGAACTATACTCAAAGCACAAGTCAGGATTTGAGCAGACTTGAGTATGATTTCAAGCACTGGAAATACGACCCTAATGGCAAAGACTTGAGCATGATTTCTAGTGCTTTGAATCATACTCAAGTTCTGACCTGAGCACTGAGTAGAGTTCTAGAATACGACTCTAGGTGTAGTCACTCAATGC